AGATAGATAGATAGATAGATAGATAGATAGATAGATAGATAGATAGATAGATAGATAGATAAATAGATAGATAGATAGGCAGATAGGCAGGGATGGACAGAAAGACAGACGGCCAGAAAGACAGACCCCTTGACTTCAAAAAGATGCTAGATCTCCTGAGTAGGGCAATAACATTTACAAAACAGTCTACGAGCAAAGCCTTCCCATAAAATTATACCTTGCGCTATTAAAGCAGGCACAGAATATATTTTCTGACTTACTAAAAGTTTAGGAACAGATTGCATAGACATAAGGGCTTCTTAAGTGGTTTTTTTTTCTCCCCTTCATCAAAAAAAGAGAACCCACCTACCCACTTCTCTATTTCCAGGTCTCATGTAAACATGGCTGGCACTGATAAGAGAAGGGGCTGAAACAAAGCTTTTTTCCAGGAAGTGCTAAGCAGGTTTCGTATGTTCCAAGTGCACCTATTCTACTTAGGGTAAAAATATATGCAGAATCCAAAAACGTCTGCGTCGATACAGTTAACTAAGCCAACTCTATTCCTGGGTTTAGAAGATCACATTTATTATAGCTGCAACACTTTCAAAGCAATTCTATATATCATCGCTCAAAACGAAGTCCTCTAAGCTTATTTTTAAGAAGATTAATTCTGAATTAATCAATTAAATCACAGAATAGTAATTTTTGCAAACGGCTATGTAAGACCTGTTATGAAATATTACGAAGTCATGCTAAGCACACCGACCGAAATAACCTTGTCCTTGTTCATATTTAGCACTAACCTGGATCTTTCCCTTGCAGTTTTGCACCCATGATGAATGATGCAAAGTCATCCTTACCCTCTGATAGCAAGATCCATTTATTAGATATGTACTGCTGCCCGTAACATCTGACTCTGGGCAGCTCACCATAACAAAACTACAAACCGTAAAAACAAAGACTAAAAACCTAGCACCTCAATCATCCTCCTAGGGTGCCCCAACCTCCCATCCACGGTCCAAAAACTCTAGGGAATTTCTAGAAGCCTGGAACTCTGACAAATAAGCCATCAATAAACACATAGTCATAAATGATATCTATAGACTATGCAAAAGAGACTATCAACTAGCAAAAAGACAGACTTTCCTCCAGCGATCAACCCCCAGATGAGCATAGATTAACCCCAAGATTAACTTCAGATGAAGAAGTAAACGATACCCCAATCAAGAAACTGCCAGACACCACCAGCAAACAGCCCAACTAAAGAACCTCCAAGATCAACCCCACCAACACTGACAGGGCAAGACACTAAAATATAAACTGACAGCAAATCCCACTCCTTATTGCCATAGCACTGATGACGTTACCTAGTTTGGATGATAAAACGTCTGCAACAAAACAGGCAAGTCCAGAGAGCACCAAGGAGCCCTCATTTCCAACGTTCTCCTTTACTGATACTCCTCTGTGCCTCTCTGCTCCTGGTATTCTAAGTCAGGGGTCCCCAACCACCGGGCCGCGGACCGGTACCGGTCCGTGGAACATTTCCTACCGGGCCGCTGGTTTGCTGGGCACCGCCATCTTGTTTGACGAGAAAGTGCTTCCGGGTGAGCTTTTCCAGATGGAAAGTGGTGTTTCGGTCCTGAAGGAATCCTCGCGCCTTAGTTTCATCGAAGGGGGGGGGGGCTTCGAACGAAACTAAGGCGCGAGGATTCTTTCAGCACCCAAGGCAAGGCGAGCCGAGCGACCGTCCCGAAACGATAGGCCATCGACAAAGGTACAAAGGAGGAGCTAAAGGTGGCGGGGAGAAGCGGGGGACGGCTGGCTGGCCGGTCGCTTGGCTCGCCTTGCCTTGGTCATGCGCGCTGATGGCGGTACCGGTCTGCAGATCATTGTGTGATGCCGGTACGGGGCCGTGGCACAAAAAAGGTTGGGGACCACTGTTCTAAGTGATGCTGCTGGTGTCCTGTTCTAGTACCTGGAGGCTGTAAGGCTCCAGATGGCAATGGCAGCATTTTGAATTGGACCTTAAGCAAATCCATGCAGTTATCATAGATCAGGGGTGTCAAATTTCAAGGCCCCGGAGTGCTTAGACCTGGCTTGCAGGGTTGCCCTGGAAATAGTGAAGGACCAGACTGCGATGCCCCTGTCAGCAAAAACGGAGCTCGGAAGGGCCACTGGCAGAGGGTTGCAGGAGGCCATTGCAGCCCAAAATGAGGCTCAGGACCCCATTTTGGCTGCCAGAGCACTCAGACCACAGGCAACCCCGACACAAGTGACATCGAGCTGGTCACACCCACCCTGGCTCCCTGAGGTCAAACACAATCCTGATGCAGCCCTCAGTGAAATTGAGTTTTATACCCCTGGTATAGACACAACATCGCTAAACAGAGACATTTTGATCACTTGAAGCTTCAAAGGCAGTCCATGTAATGATGTATAGTGCATGTTTCAAAGTTTCTTTCATTTGACACACATGTAGGATGAAATACGCTTTACTTAGTATTTCATCAAATGCTTACCTTTTGTAGGCACTCAAGCACTTTGGACATATATGCCTCCTGACATTCGTAGGGTGGAAATGGGAAGTCAATAGTAATGCCACTTAATTTTATTTCGGGCATATTTCATCTGGCATCTCAGGATCACAAAACCTAAAATCAAGAATATTGTTCCATTAGTATTAAATATCAACAAGACAGTTCACAATTTCCCTAATTCTACTTCAGCCATTCAAATACTTTGGCCACCTAATGAGAAGGAAGGACTCAGTGAAGAAGAGCCTAACGTTGGGAACGATTGAGGGCAAAAGAAGAACCGGACGACAGAGAATGAGGTGGCTGGGTGGAGTCCCTGAAGCAGTCAGCGTGAGTTTAAACGGGCTCTGGAGGATGGTAGATGACAGGAAGGCCTGGAGGAATGTTGTCCATGGGGTCACGGTGGGTCAGACACGACTTTGCAACTAACAACAGCAACACTTCAGCAATGAGAGTTCCTTTTTTAAATTTTATTTATTAAATTTGTTGACCACGCATCTCACCATAAAAATTCCTTTAAAATCTCAAGTGTTTTTAAGAAACACACTTGGATTTGACCCCTTAAGTCATGATGAGCTACATATTTCTAGTTCTCTACAAAGATCACCGCAAATTCTACTTTTAAATGGGTTTAGAATATTAAAGAAAGAACAAGTAATTACAACCCCAATTATACTGAGTGGGCAAATCAGTAAAAAAAAAAAAAGCCAGATCTTTTCCCCTTGTTAATGCAAAAAGGTCAGCAGCTAGCAACACAAAAATATTTTTTCAGTATTGGACCACAGTCAGTTAATAGGTGATTAAAAGTCAATGATAAAGCTTTATGACAATGTGTATTATTTAGCTATAAACAGGATTTATTACCTTTAAATAAATGATGAATGCTTTAAGACAAATTTTATATTTGTTTTGATTTGTGGATTACAGCCAAATCATAACTATTCATGAAACCTTAATGAATTCTCTCCCAATCTTGGTTTTAATTATGTTGATCATTTCATTGCCTTAGTTTCTACATTCAATTATGATGGTTGGTTTAGTAGTTGTATGCTGCCCAGAATCCCTTGGTGTGAGATGGCCAGCCATATCAATTTGATTAAATCAATTTAGGTATTCTAATCAATGTAGGAGTGTCGTTCATGTGTTGGATTAAGACAAGAGAGAACCTGTTGAAATCCACCCTTAATCACAGAGTCTCTTGGGTTCATTTTGAGCCAATGATTCTCCCAACTCAACCTACTCCGTAAGACTATTATTTGCACAAATAAAGGGAGATATTTATGTAAACCATCTTCAGCTCCTTGATAAAATTGGGATACAAGTTTAAAGAAGAACCATTAAACAGAGGGAAAGCTTAGTTTGAAAAATGTTGTCATCTGTAACAATCTGAGGACCCAGATTGTTGGAAGCAACTTGCTGATTCTGTAAAACCGTACAGCACTGTAAAGTGGCATTTAAGTCTAAGTGCTATTGCTACTGCCTGATGTGTGAACTTATTTTCACCTTCTTTTGTACAACTCAAGAAGCACTTTCCATTTAGGAACAGATGGGAGCAAACCACTTGTGAAGGTCTGCAAGGTATTCGTTTTACTTACTTATTTTCTTCTTTTGCCCTCTATGACTACCCCCCATTAGATATTCAGGAGGACATGGTATGGGGTCTTTTTTTAAAAAAAACATGTGGATATAAAATGTCTATTAACAAGTCTCCACTGTGGCTTCCCCCTTGTGAAATGGGCTCATTGACTGTCATTACAGATAGAATATTTGTAGCTCAAAGTGCAACTGTGGGGTCATTGATGCTCTCTTGATGACGCTGAACATGTTGCCCCAGTTGGGTAATGAAATGTCACCAAGAAAACCACCAAGCTCAGAAAGCATCAAGGGCCCCACAGTCCTCTTTCTCCTCCGTTCGGCAAATCCCTTCTAGCCCTGATGATGCTACCTAGTTGGGTAATAAAATGTCTGCAAAAAAACCCACCAAGCTGAGAGAGCATCAAGGACCCCACAGTCTTCCTCCTCCTTCCATCTCCGCTTCTCTCATCCAACCCACTCCCTGTCTAACCCTGATGATGCTACCTAGTTGGGTAATAAAACGTCTGCAAGAAAACCACCAAGCTCAGAGAGCACCGAGGACCCCAGTCTTCCTCCTCCTTCCCTCATCCAACCCACTCCCTGTCTAACCCTGATGATGCTACTTAGTTGGGTAATAAAACGTCTGCAAGAAACCCACCAAGCTCAGAGAGCATCGAGGACCCCACAGTCTTCCTCCTCCTTCCCTCCCCGCTTCTCTCATCCAACCCACTCCCTGTCTAACCCTGATGATGCTACTTAGTTGGGTAATAAAACGTCTGCAAGAAACCCACCAAGCTCAGAGAGCATCGAGGACCCCCAGTCTTCCTCCTCCTTCCCTCATCCAACCCACTCCCTGTCTAACCCTGATGATGCTACTTAGTTGGGTAATAAAACGTCTGCAAGAAACCCACCAAGCTCAGAGAGCCGCAAGGACTCCAGGCGTCAATCCCTCTTCTCCCCTCCTCCACACTAGGGGGAAAAAAAAAGATATCCCCTTTCCGGCAGGACGGGGCTCGGAGATATCGGCCTCCGACCGCCGCTCTAAACTCAGGTGCGGGGGAAAAGCGCCCAGGCTGCCCAAAGAGAAGCTCAACCCGCGCGGCCCCCGACAATCTCACCTCCCGCACCTCTTTCCTCCAAGCGCCCCGGTTCGCAGACCCCGCGCGCTGGGTCACGTGGCCGAGCCCTGGGCGTCTCATTGGTTGGGCGGCCCGCGCGCGCGCACGCGCGCACAGCTTGAGGAGGAGGAGGAGGAGGAGGCGGGGAAGAGAGAATGGGGGGGGGGGGGCGGGAAACCCCCGCGAGGCCTTCCCGTTGCCGGGGGAACCCCCCCCCCCTCCCCCCCCCCCCCCGCTCCCGTTTCCATGGTGAAGCCATCTTTTCTCTCCCCGATGGGCTGAAAAGCGCTTCTCGCCAGCCCAAGCGTTGGGACTACAAACCCCATGGTTGCTAGTCAGGAAATTAAGCCTAGGCTAGGTTGGCGGAGTTTGTAGTCCGAGGCGCTGGGCTAAGTCAGTCTGAGCAAGAGGCAAATCAGGAATCAAGCCCGCCCCCCCCCCCCCCCCCCGGGTCTCCGGTCTTTCCAACTTGGAAGTGATGGGAGTTGTAGTCCTCAAAGCCTGGAAGGCGTCCCAGCGGGAATGCTGGGATTGATATATAGTTAGTCCTCCACTCCACGACGTAGGACCATAATTGAGCCCCAAATTTCCATTGCTAAGTCAAACGGTTGTTAAGTGTTTTGCCCCATTTTACAACCTGTCTCGC